CAGTGGTTTGGCACCTGCCTTTGGCCCAGGGCATGATCCTGGAGTTCCAGGATCGAGTCCTATGTGGGGCTCCCTGCCTGCTTCTCTCTCTGCCTGTCTCTCTCTCTCTCTCTCTCTCTCTCTCTCTCTCTCTCTCTATCTCTCATGAATTAAGAAATCAAATCTTTGAAAAAAAAATCATCTGGTATTTTCCTTTTGAGCATAGTGCATAGGAGAGAGAAGTGTATCATTGACTTTAGACCCAAATGGTAGAATTAATATTTTCCATAATTTCCCTCTTGTTTAACATCAGACTGGACCACAAACTCTCAACCTGCATGTACCAAATTTAGTGCCAAAAAACATAGCTCTTACTGCTTTCTGCCTTTCTGGCTTTCACAGTGCTTTGCTGATGATTGTTGACATTAAAAAGAACAAGTGCCTTGAGAGGGTAACTAGCGTGCTGCTCAAGCATAGTTAGCTCCAGAGTGGCTGCACTGTGGTGGAGCCAATAGTCTAAGATCTGGTCTTCAATTTTATAGGCCCAGACACATCATGGTCTCTCGCATGCAGACAAGACAATCTCCAGTGTAATGACACATACTATGCATATTCAGAAATAACTGTTAAACATCTGAAACAAATTTGATTATTTTCAGCAAAAGAAAAAAATTAATGTATCAAGTAGATAGTCTTGTTGATCTGAAGATGTATTCCAATTTGTATGAACAGGTTGGTTTAGGAGTGTGGAAGTGGAGCCAAGTCAGAAGCATTTTCTTAGAGTTTAATTTGATTCAACTGTGATACTTTGATATATTCATCTCCTCTGTTGGATCAAATATTCATGTCATCACAGCATTGGCTTCCCTGGATGGTCTTGGAAACACACTGTCCAGTTCTGAGTTTTGGCTTCCATTTTTAATTCACTCTGTGCATGAACTCTATATAATTTATGGCACGGATTATTTTGTCTACTTACATTCTTACCCTGGCATTGTGAACTAGACAATTTCTCAATTGTCTTCTTCATTCACTTTTAAAGCATTATTTTAAGAAAGGTATATTCTGCAGACAACTAACATCAGTTGCTCTGTGCTATTTATTCCTGTAGTTTACAAAGATCAATACTATCTCCATAAAATGTGATCATTTGGCAGTAACAGCAGTGTACCCTGATGGGAGCCATAATGGCGTTCTCCAGAGCTGTCCTGGGCAGTGTACACAGTACTGCCGCATTTACGCACTTCAACCTCCGGGTGGTAACTATGAATGAGATCAAAGAAAACAGGTTGAAAGACACACAAAAAAATTTGTATCATGTATGAAAACAGACTAATTATTTTCAAAGCGGTAATGAAAGACACCTCCACCCTTTTTTTTACTTGCTCTTGACCTCACAGTGGTGAAATGAATTCTGAACTCTATAGAGGCACAAAGTAGAGTTCAATCCCTCTGCAAATGGCACAAATTAGTAGGTAGGCATATGAGGGAGGTTTCCGATTCCCTAAGGCAGCTGTGCTGAGTGAATTTGGCCTGTTTTTCCCAGGCTTGAAGAACACAGACTCTTTTTTATGGCTTCATTTTGCGATGTTAGTCAAATTGGGGCCTGGAGGCAGGAGATAGCCCATAAAGGCCCATTCTAGCGCTCCAATTCAATCATCAGAAGAGAGACGTGGGTGGCTCCTATATTCAGGAAAGCCACATTTAAAGTATCTCCCATAAGGCTGATCTTATAGTATTTCAAAGCCTTCCTTTTAAACATATTCCATAGGCATTTCGATCTTTGTTTTTACGGTGCTATTTATAATATGCAAATTCTAGGACAAGGATAAGCACAGGTTTGAATTATAAACCCTTGTGGATAGGAACTGACACCAATCCAATCCTAACACACTTTGACCATGTTAGCAATGCCAAGAGTCCCGCTGAAGGGACTCTATAGTCTGCCACTATCGTTATCCTCAAAGCCTTAGAAAATTGTCTCTAAACTCTCTCTTTTGGGGAAAATATAATCTGACTTTTTAGGAAATAGTAGATTCATATCACAATAGATTTATCCAGAATATTGAAGAATTTTTATAATCTAGAAGTACAGGTACAAGTCTAAATAAGTGTTAAAAAGAAAATCTGTTGGGATCCCTAGGTGGCTCAGTGGTTTGGCGCCAGCCTTTGGCCCAGGGCGTGATCCTGGAGAGCCAGGATCGAGTCCCACATCGGGCTTCCTGCATGGAGCCCGCTTCTCCCTCTGCCTGTGTCTCTGCCTCTCTCTGTCTCTCTGTGTCTCTTGTGAAAAAAAATAAATAAAATCTTTTTAAAAAATGAAAGAAAATTTGTCTAGACTACTACCATGAATTGTCTAAAAAAATAAGTAATAAAATCATCAGAGATGTTTATAATATTTATTTTAAATGGGTTCATTAAAATATATTTTTTAATTTATAAATTCATGGCCTTGAAAGATAATGTCTGAAGGGCATCATTTTATGATAATAAGAGTGAAAAAGGTTGAAGGTTATCACCCCAAAACCAGAAGCTCTCGCCTGCTCTAAGATGGTGACAGATGAGGCTGTCAGGGTGGCAGATTCGTAGGCAGGTTGTTGAATTTTTCTTTCTACGGTAATCTTTCACATTTTGACAAATTCTTCCCTGTTTTGAGATGATTTAAACATACCGTTATGAAGCAGATCAGAGCTTTTAAATCAAAGTTGAAAACTGTCTCTGCTGCCAGGAGTACAAGTATGTGTAGTGAACATGTACATAAATAAATGGGGAAATTATGTGCACGTTTGAAAGCCTTTGCTTTCTGGCAATCTCCTCTGGAGAGGTAAAACAGTAGAAAAAAGAAGAAGTTGGGAAAATGAAATCCTTGCCCAAATGTCATATTTCTCTTACTCCGTAAACTTTTGAGTCTGTTCATTCTGCCTGAGTTTCTCATCGCTGGAAATGGAAGGTCCATGTGGGCAGGAATCACCATCTGGTTTTTTCACCAATATATCCAATCATCCAGAAAGTGCCTGGCACATAGCAGGCCCTTGATTTATATTTACTGAATAAACCAATTCATGAAATGAGATTAATCATAACAGCCTCTCTGTATTTGGGTTGAATGCTTTATGAGGTGGAGGACATAGGAGACTAAGGAACTTGAACCCCCTTGTTAGAAGATTCTTATATAAATTCAAAGTGATAGTGTAGTCCCTTTTCTCTCATTGTGTAGCCTTCCAAATCAAAATCATCTCTGAAGGCAGCAGCAGTTGACATCTACCAGAAGTAGTATGACAGCAAGTTTCAGCCTTGTTCGGTTCCCTCAGGGTGGCTTCAGCTCTCTCTGTGAAATGGCGGTTAAGAGCCTGGACCTTGAAATAATGAACCCCAGCTTCACTACTGGTTATATGACTTTAGCAATGTTATTTAACCTTTAGTGACTTGGTTTCCTCAAATGGAGACATGGGTAATATCAACCCAAGGAGATGTAAGGATAAAATGAGATAATTCATGTAAAATTCTTTGCGTGGCCCAGCACTTGGGAAGTACTCCATAAGCTCCATAAACGTTAGCTTATATTACTTGTTGCTATCCAAGGATTTTTGCCTCATTTATTGTTTCTGCCTATTTTTCTACTTGAATGTGCATATTAGTTTAGAAACAAAGTACCACTAACTCAGTGACTTAGAACAACGAAAATTTCTTGTCTCAACAGTTCTGGAGACAAGATTGAAATCAACATGTTAGCAGAACTGTGCTTTCTATGAAAGCAGTGGCTTTCCTTGCATTTCCAGCTCCTGGTAGCCCTAGGCATCCCTTAGCTTTCTGCAGCATACTCCTAATCTCTGTTATCCATCTTCACACAGATTTCTCCCTTTGTCTCTTTACATCATCCCTCGCTGCATGTGAGTTTATATTTTCCCTTTTTAAATGGACACCATTTGTACTGGATTAGCACCCACCCTGATGATCTCACCTCAACTTGATCACCTGTATAAGGACCTCGTTCCCAAATAAACTTACATCCTGGGGTATCGAGGGCTAGAACCTCAACAAATTGGTAGCAGTGAGAAGGAAATGACCCATAAGAGCATGATTCTATATTTTCCTCCTCAATTCAGTGTACTTCCTTCCCCAATGGAGAAGTGTCTATAATATGGCACCAGAGTGGGAGCTTTTAAGTTTGAGTGTAGCCTTGCCACTAACTACCTTCATTGAAAATACTCAAATTCTGCAAGTCTGGGCTACTTTATAAAATAGAAGGACCGGGTTAGATGGTGTCTAGCATGTCTTCCATCTCCAAAAGGTCATGTTTATAATGTGTGGCCCTCTTTCTCAACCACAGCGTGTATCTCAAACTTACACGATGTTCAATGCATCTTGGTGGCCTTGTAACTAATAATAAAGGTTCTGATGTATTTCATGACCATTGCCAATCATCTCAGTATATACTTGTATTAAAATCCCACTGTCTGCAATGCTTTAGTGGGGTTCTTATCAAATCAAAGCTTTGTTAGATCTAGGTTGTAAAAATGTCTAAATAGTGCCACTGAGCCTTTTTATGTGAGTTTTTATTGCTTCGTGAAATTTTCTAAAATTTGTAAATAGACATTTTTCTATGCCAAATGCCCCTGATATCAAAATAAGATCCAGAATATAAGACTTTGTAGTGTAGTGTGTCTTTTCTGATTAGACTATGATGCAACTCTCGTGAAAACCATAAAACCAAAACTTAAGACGTTAGGGAAAATAAAATTAAATCCTGCCACTGACTCATAGACTGTTGGCAACTTTCCTGAAAGTTTGCTTAGACTACCATTACAGAGGGCTTAAAAGTCTACTCTACTACAGCTAGAAGAAAATTCAAGAAAGGAAATAGAAATCTATGCCAGCTCTCAGATACAACATTTTTAGTGTCTCCTAGCCCAAAAGGGTTGACTGTAGATTCAATATCATCAAATGGCACTTTCTAATTCTTCACCTCATCTGAAACCTGTTGCCGTAGGTGTTCACTGAATTGTTTCTTTCTCTTCCAGCCTCCTCCATCCTCAAAAGAGAGAAGCGGCTAAGGACAAAGAATGTGCATTTCAGTTGTGTCACCGTGTACTACTTCACCAGGAGGCAAGGTTTCACGAGTGTGCCCAGTCAAGGGGGCAGCACCCTGGGCATGTCCAGCCGCCATAACAGCGTGCGCCAGTACACTCTTGGTGAATTTGCAAGAGAGCAAGAGAGGCTCCACCGGGAGATGTTGAGAGAACACCTCAGGGAGGAAAAACTGAACTCTTTAAAACTAAAGGTAAAAAAGCATTAGGAGCTCACTTTTTGCAAAACCTTGTATCCTTACCTTGATTTGGTTGAATTATCCGTTTTCATACTTGTTACATACTTTCATACTTTTCATACGTCGTGGACCAAGCTGGACATTTTACACAACAGACTACCTGCCTGCTGAGGCTTTTTTTTTTTTCTTTTAAGCGAAAACAGTAGTGTCTTCACTGAAAGCTATGTGGAAAGCCTATCTGACATCATTTAATTATTCATTCAATAAATATTTGTTATTGAGTACCACCAGGTCATAGAGCCTATGCTTGGGCTGGGGCCCACTGGTATCAAAAATAGATGTGGTCCATTCTCTTCTAGAACTTTTATATTAATAGGAAAGAAAAGAATCAATCATGTAGACAAAATAGAATCATAGCTTCATTAAGTGCTATAAAGGAGATTTGCAAAGGCTGTGAAAGTATGTAACGGGGCATTGGTGTGGTCCAGAGGTCAAGGAAGGCGTCTTCAAGGAAGTGACGACTAAATGGAAATCCGAACAACTAACTAAGCCAAAGGGTTGGCAAGAGTGGTTCAGGCAACAGGAAGAGCCAGAACTGCCTTGTGCTGGAGGAGGAAGCATAGTGAGTACTAGTGTAGCTGGAACAGAGTCTACTTCATGAAGAAGACTATACATGGAGGAGGCAGAACGAGACTTTGTAGATCATGTTAAGGCACCTTTTTTTCTCTTCATCTAAGACCATCAAAAGTCATCTGAGAGTTTTGGGCATTGGGATCAGGGTAGTAGAATAATATGATCGGGTTCATCCTATGCTGTGAGAATAGTTTTGGGGTAAGGGCTGCCATGCTTAAGGGTGGGGGAGCATACAGGATTAACCAGTTAAGAGGCTATCGCAATAGTCCAGGAGAAGGATGATGGTGAGTTAGATAGACTGATGATAGGAGAGATGAAGAGAAATGGACAGAGGAAGAAGTTTCGAGAGTAAAGTCAACAGCTCTTGGTGACAGGCTGGTTTTGAAAGGAAAAGAGGGCTGGGCTTGGAAAGATACAACCCAAGAGATTGCTGGGAAAGGCAAGGCTTCATTCCAGGTGAAATCAGTGGCTAACCTGGCTAGAAACTGCTGAAGAAGAAGTGTCTGAGGAAGAAGCTGACTAAAGAACCAGCCAAAGCCTCGAATTGTGCAAAACATACCGTTGCTATGACCAAACTGCATTTGACCTAACCACTGCAAAAAGTCATTCCGCTGTAATGTTTTCACAATATTTAAAGCAGAAGCACATCAGTTAGTGTTTCCCTTTGCATAAGGATTTTTTTGTAGTGTAATGTCTTAATCATAGTCTACCATCAAATATTTTAGGAGTATCTTTAATGTTCAGATAGTATTTTAGTTGCATGTGATAATTACATCCTAAATCTTCCAGCAGGCAAGGACCATCTTTGCTGCCGGTTACTGTAGGCTGTTTGAAGTTAGAAGATTGAACAGCAATACTGGATACTGTAGAAATGCACTTTTCTCAGTAATATTGTGTTGTTGCAATATTTGATTATCCATTTGGTTGTTACAGAAAAATTCTTAATCTGGTTACTTGTTGCTGTAATAGTATATTGCCTGTATTTCTACCTCCGTAATAGGATTTATGTGCTAGATTTTAATATCCTTGAACCTGGGCTAGCACATAAGTCTTTAAAAGAAACATGGTTTACTTGCACAAAACTGATCAATTTTTAGAGACCATTCCTGCCCTTGACGTGGTTTTGTGGGTGTGAAACAAATGGTAATGATTTGAATTGGTCCCTCTTATTATAGTATTGAAATTAGGTCTACATAATTTTTCAAATCATGTTCTTGCCCTGATCTTATTTATTTGTATCTATCAATGAACATTGTGATACTTAGAGGGAAAAAAAAAGGAGGAGTCAAGAATGATTCCTGGATTTCTGGCTTACACAAATGAACAGGTTGTGGGTAAAAGTAGCTTTCTCTATGAGGATATGGCAAGGAATCCAGGAAGAGAAGTAAGTTGGGCCTGGGACTGGAAGGGAAGGGATAGATAATGAGACTATTTTTGAACATACTGATTTTGGAGAGGCTTTTGAGTTAGTAAAGAGATGTCAGAGATGTGTCCAGGCCATATTAGAGATTAAGTGGAGAGAAACACAGCTCAGAAAACATCTTTCATCAACCAAAGACAGTCTTTAAACATGTACTGATCCATCAGCCTATCAAAATATAGGAATGCTCTCCCACTATTATGGGACAAAGGAAATGTTTTTTAGGTAATCCAGGATACTTAACATAAAGAGCCTCTTATTAAATCACTGAAGCACCAATGAGCACACCTGTGTTACGTGTAACTCTAGTTCCCAGTACAAAGTCAGACAGCAGAGGTGTGCTGTGTGTTTTAAAATACCTTGTTTTTATGTATTTTGCAATTTATGTATCTGCCTTGCTCCCAATTGTATAAGAAGGCCATTGCTTAAATTAAGCGAGGCACAATCTAGCCTAGAGCTTATCTCATATTTCCTTTGGTGATATTTTTGACAAATTTCACTGGAAGTCTCTTAAGATTTTTTTGGTAGCAGCCCACTGTTATTATTGTTTTTCCTGATTGCTTTGCATATAGCTTATTTTAATAGTAAGTCTTAGATTTGCTTTTGAAATCTGCCCTCTACCTTTCTAAACCACTGTAAACCAACTCTATGCCCTACTCAAAGAACAAAGTCATTCCCAATCAAATATTGGCAAAACAATAGTAATGGCCGCCATTCATTAAGTGATTTTTATTTGCCAGGCATTTGGTAAACATCATTCAATTTAATCTTAACAAAGACCCAGTGGGATAAGTAAATTATTGGACCATGTGTGCTGAAGAAAAAGAAACTCAATGATGTTAAACACTGACTCACTCAATAGAAAACTGGTTATATTATCCTGTTACTTCTTATTCTAAAATTAATTGATTATCCCCCCTAGGCAGTGGAAAAGCCAATCTCTGTACCTATAGGGAGTCATACCGTTCTGGGGTTTGGTACTGTGTACAGTGGTTTTTAGCAGCTGGGAGACTATAATTCTATCTGAGAACCAAAAGATTTATTGTGGCGAACTTTGAGGCGCATTATACATGTGATGAATGTTGGGAGAGCCACACACCTACAAGAACCTTCCATATCAGGCAGTAATATATTCTGATACTGTAATTTGTATTCAGCGACTTTTATGCTTTTTCTTTAATAAGCTGCAGAAGAAAAGAAGAACAAAAAAAAGAAAGAAAGAAGATGAAAGAAAGAAAGAAAGAAAGAAAGAAAGAAAGAAAGAAAGAAAGAAAGAAAGCATTCTCCTATTGATTCATCTTTTATTTTTAATCGTACTTAGTGTTGGAAGTTGGAGAGGCAGTCATGGCTCGGTTTGTCATTGATAAGTGAAAACACGCAACTTCCCTTTTTGGTGAAGATGTAAACAGAAGACATTTGGATATCATTGCTCCTTTCAAATGAATACCAAGCAAAAAGATAATGGGATTCTAAGGTGTCTGATTTTAGCCTCTCTGTGTTGAAAATATTTAGAAACTCAGAAACATGTCACACGAACCTAATAAAAGATCATAGCAATGCGGACCAGTTTGCTTTAAAAAAAAAATCTGAGAAGACCGAATGAAGAAACAGTTGTATATTTTTTAAAAGATTTTTTTAAATTTACATATTCATGATAGATGGGGGGGCGGGGGGGCAGAGACACAGGCAGAGGGAGAAGCAGGCTCCATGCCAGGAGCCCAACACAGGACTCGATCCCGGGACTCCAGGATCACACCCTGGGCCAAAGGCAGGCGCTAAACCGCTCAGCCACCCAGGGGGATCCCCAACAGTTGTATATTTTAATTATAATTCCTCTAGTATATTAACTTTTATGATTTTTAAAATATCATTGACTATACTTATCTAGGGTTTAGTTATCCAAAATCTAAAATTAGCTTCCAAAAACATTCGCTATCCAAAAATATCACTCTGATACTTAAAAATTTGACTTTTAATGTAACATTTGTCTTGAAATACTAATACCTCTGGAGTAAGTAATAAAATAAATGTAGCTAAATTGATTCCATTATTTTGACTGGGGCAGCAGGAGGTTTGCTGGCACAGAACAGGGTTAAAAGAGGAAAGCAAGGATTGTACAAACTTCTCCACTTTGGCTTTGGCTGGAGGTGGTCCTCTGTGAGTGGCAGTGAGCTTGCTATGGAGTAAGAGAGAGAAGACAACTTCTGACAAGACAAACACTTTCCAAAGCCCTCCCCATGGAGACCAGCCGCAACACCACAGGAAACCCCCTGGACGTGGAACCGAGTCATTTCCCTTTTCCTTATTTGAGAACCAACAGCCCAGAGCTGTAAGGAGAAGTTCCTCTTTCCACTGTGCCAAGTCTTCCCAGGGCGTTTCACTAGGTTCCAAATAGAGAACCTGCCTCTGTAATGGCACCCCTTCTGATGCTGCCTTTCGGTGAAAGATTTGTAGACAGAAACATACACCACACACTTCTTGAAACAAACTACACACACACTACACACTTTGGAAACGAGTAAGAATAGGAATTTAGTTTTTCACTGTAAAATCGCTTCTTATTTCGAAATCCATCTCTTAATCAAATTATGAGCTAGCCACATTGGGAAATAATATATCCAATTAGATGTGTAGGAAAAAAAATCCAATTCTATTTGGGCGCTCAGGTGTCTTTTTTGTTGATGGTGTTGGTGCTCCAAACAATGTCAAAAAACAATCAATAGAGAAAGCTAAATGAATAAAATGCTTGTTCCTAGAAGAAATAACTAGCTTTAGATTTCTGAATTACAGAGAGTATCCGTTTTGCCTGTCAAGCCCATTCAAAGATGTCATACTCTTCACAGTAATCAAGGCGGTCATCTTAATACTGTACTCTTTTCCAAATTAAGTGCTTAGATTTCATCATCTGCACCACATTGTTGAACAATTACATTAGCCTTTATTCCCATTTCTCATGTATCTG